CCAGAATTCCAGCCACAACAGGGGACACTTCCCAAATGGAGCCATACATGTCACAGCTGCTCTCAAGGTGAGCAGACCCCAGCTCCATGCAGACACAGCTCCTGTGTCTCCACACCTCCTCTAGCACCTGGTCCAGGCAGCAGAGAGGAGTATGGATGGCTGGAATGGGAGAGGGGAGAAGCTTGGGTTGCTGTGGGTGAACCAGAGCTGTTCCAGAGGTGTTGGGCTCTCTTTTCTTCCAGAACCCCCGTGAAAAGTCATAGTCCCACATCTGGGGCTGTGCTGGCTCTCCAAGCAAGACCCCAGCCTGGAGATGCCACAGGGCTGGGCTGACTCTGCCCACAGCAGTGCCCTCATCCAGGAGAAAGCGCCTGACTTTCACCCTGACTCACCCATCCAGACTTCTCCAAACTGTCCTGCTCCCAACTTCTCCACCAGCTTCAGCGACTCCCGCGGTACCTCCCACTCGTCCTGCCACCAGGGCTTCTGTGGCTTCTGCGTCCTGCAGGGCTTTCCCAGGCGAGTGCAGAGCCCGTCTGAGGTGCCTGTGGAAGGGGGAGGCAGAGCCAGGATTGAGGGAGGCAGAGCTGGGAGCGACACAGGCAGGGGCACAGGGCCCCAGGACAAGCCAACAGGTCTGCTGGGGCACTGGGCGCAGCGTGTCCTGCTCATTCCATCCCATTCTGACCTGTTCCCATTCTGTCCTGTTCCTCTTCTGTCCTATCCCATCTTGTCCCATACTGTCTGATTCTGTCCCATACTGTCCCACTCCATCCTATCCTGGTCCTATCCCATCCTGTCCCTATCCTATCCCACTCCCATTCCATTCTATCCCATTCCTATCCCATCCTGCCTCTATCCCATCCCATCCCATACAATCCTATCCCTTCCCCATTCATTCCATCCCCACTCAATCTTGTCCTATCCTATCCTGTCCCATCCCATTCCATCCTCTCCCATCCAATCCTATCCCATCCCATTCTTATTCCATCCTGTCACTAACCCATCCCTTCCAATTCTGTCCCATCCTATTCCATCCTGTTCCATCCAATCCTATCCTATCCCACCCCATTCCATCCCATCCCATCCCATCCCATCCCATCCCATCCCATCCCATCCCCATTCTGTCTTGTCCCTATCCCATCCCTTCCAATTCTGTCCCATCCTATCCCATCCAATCCTATCCCATCCTATCCCATCCCATCCCATCTCATCCCATCCCATCCATCCCATCCCATTCTCATTCTGTCTTGTCCCTATCCCATCCCTTCCAATTCTGTCCCATCCTATTCCATCCTGTCCCATCCAATCCCATCCCATTCATTCCATCCCATTCTCATTCTGTCTTGTCCCTATCCCATCCCTTCCAATTGTGTCCCATCTTGTCCCTACCCCATTCCCATTCTTTCCTGTCCCATCCCATCCCATCCCACCTCATTCCTGCCCCATTCCCACCCCATCCCACCCCATTCCTTACGCATGTAGTGCTGCACCAGCTCCCTCAGGCTGCCGAAGGGCACTCGGGGGGAGATGTAGAAGCCACCGTTGTCCAGGTTGCGAATCTTGTAGTGCTTCACAGTCTCTCCCTGGGTCTCATCCAGGTCCCTCACAGACAGCGAATACGAACCTGGGGAGAGGGAGGGACATGTGTGGGACCCCAACACCCTCCTGTGCTTCCCAGACCCTTCCCAGTGCCAGCAGCAGGAGCTGTGGGATGGTACCTTTGGTGGTCTCGCTCTCCCGGATGAGGAAGGAGCCGTGAGTGTTGCCTGACGCCAGGAGTTGTCGCTCCGCATCCTTGCGGCTGATGTTCTTGAAGAACCACCTGGGGACAGGGACATGGTTAGGGCTGGGGAAGCTCAGGCCACATTCACCCACTGGCACTTTGCTCCTGGCTCCTTCCCCCTCTGCCAGGACACAGCTCCTCAATCCCTACTCACGGCTCGGGCTCCAGGCTGTTCACCAAGGCCACGAAGTTGTAGGGGATCAATCCCTCCTGGCCGGTGGTGAGCGACTGTGCCTTCCACCACTCCCCATTCCTGCAAGGACACAGCAAGGTGAGACCTCCCACAGCTGCCAGGACCCTGCACAGACCCCTCTGGCAGCACAGGGGCTGTGCTGGAGCAGGTTGAGATGCTGTTGGAGCTCACTCACTCTTCTAGGACTCGGAGCTTCTCACCCTTCCGCAGCCCCAGGTCCCCATCGTGCTTGGCCTCATAGTTGTACAGAGCCACCACCAGCTTGTCTGCGAGGACAAGCAGAGGGACAGGGTGGCAGTGGCCAGTTGGGGGGTGGCACAGTCACCCCCCACCACATCCAGACCTTACCTTGCATGGGGGAACACGGGGGAGACGTGGGCTCATAGAACACCAGAGGGTCCTGCACCTCGGAGCCATTGCGGATCAGCCTCTGCCAGGAGACAGAGAGAGATCCCTCACCCTCCAGGGCTTGACTATCCCATGGCCACCTCCAGAGGTGTTTGGCCACCAGTATGGGGGTCTGGCCACCCCCTCCTCACCTGGCGCTTGCTGTCGGGGTCGATGGGGTAATTGCAGTGCTCACAGATGTCGATGTTCTCGATCCAGTCGTCGTCGTAGTCTGAGCTGCAGCAGCAGCCCATGGTGGCTGCAGGGGACAGAAGTGATGAGGGGACCCTTCAGACCCCCCCAGCCTCACCTCTCCTGCTCCAGCACATCCCCATCCATCCATCCATCCATCCATCCATCCATCTCCCCACATTGCATGGCCCTTCCTGCACACTCCCCAGGTCCTGAGCTGAATTCAGCCCATTCCCTGTCTCTCTGTCAGCAGCCATTATTTCCTCCTAATTTATTCTGGCTGTGTTAATTAAAACTACTGAAGGCAATTAGTCCCCAGCCTGAGATTCCCCTTTCCCATCAGCACAGTCTCCACCAGCTCCTTCTCTCCCTGCAGCCCTTAGGCTGCTCCCTCTGTTCTCCATCCAGATAACAACCTAATCATTAATATCCCATCAGCAATTAATATGTCCATGCAAATCGTGTTTAACAAGGTTTGGCTGGATCAGGGACCTCCCTGATCCTAAAAGCAACTCTTGGGATCAGAGGAGGATGTGAGCCCACCTTGTGTCACCTCAGCTCTCAGCCTCTCCCCCCAACATTCTCCTGTGTCAGGGAGGATCCTGATCCCCATCCCTGCTCCAGGATCTCTCACCCTCTGCAGCTCACCCCAAGACATCAAGGACACCCCCAACATCAAGCATCAGCCCTGGCCGTGGTGGCAGTGAGCTGGCACAGGGCTGTGCTCAGTGTCCCCACACCACAGTGTGGGCACTGATGTCATGAGTGTCACGTGGGCTCTGCAAACCACCTGGGCAGCTCTTGCCTTCCCACAAATGCTGAGTGTGGCAGAAACCCACAGTCCCACAGTGTATGGGGTGGAAACGCTGGCACACAGCCCAGGAAAAAGCTCTTCAGCAGAATCCTCCACTCCCACACTGCTGGGATTCATCTCCACCAAGACCTGGTCCTCAGACCTTCTTCTCCAGGCTCTTGGGGAGCACTGGTGTAGTTTCCACAGGTGCTGGGTGCCAATAGCAGGGCTGGGAGCCCCATGGCACCATGAGCCAGCCCAGGTGTGTCTACCCCAGCACCCAAACCCAGTGGTTGCTGTACCAGCACTGAGTGGGATCTCTGATCTGGCACTGAGGTGGTGCAGCTGTGAGGGAACCTGTCCTCACCAGGTTCTCATCCTGACCAGGTCCTCATCCTCTCCAGGTCCTCACCCTCACCAGCTCCTCATCCTCATCAGGTCCCCGTCCCCACCAAGTCCCCATCCTCACCAGGTCCCCATCCTCACCAGGTCCTTGTCCTCACCAGGTCCCTGTCCTCACCAGGTCCCCATCCTCACCAGGTCCTTGTCCTCACCAGGTCCTCGTCCTCACCAGGTTCCCAGTGCCCACCTGAGCCCTGGGAGAGGCTTTGCTAGGAGGCACTGACCACTGACACCTCTTCCTCCTTGGTGTCCTACCCAGGAACCATTGCACATTGGGTTTTCACCAGCACACACGTAAATCCAACCTCTTCCGTTCTGCTAAGGAGGGCTCAGCAGTGGGGGCTTCGTTTGAGTGGGGACACAGGGAAGAGCCTCACAGGGCACCCAAAGAGGGTGCAGGGTCCTCAGGGTGCTGCCAGCCCCCAGTGCCACCAGCCCCAGCCATCAGAGCCAACTGCCAGGCAGTACCCCCCAGCCTGCACTGCCAGGTCTGGTTTTCCACACCAGGAGCCTCCTCCCTTGGGTGTGGGGTCAGCAGAGACACAGGGACCATCCCCATGGTGCCACCTCGGGCTGCACAACATCATAGTGGCCAAGAGGAGTTGGTGGCAGGTGATTTTGGCAAGGAAAACACAGACGACTGAGCCTCCCATGCCATGCAAAGCTGCTTTGAGGAACCATGCTAAAAACCACTCTGGTGCCTTCAGCTCCTGGTGACATCCATTTGGCAACACACTTTGGCATACAAAAAGGGGTTTGGCCACACCACAGTGCCCTGATGTAGTCAGGGCAGCAGCAAAACCCATCTCCACCCCCAAGCATCACCGTGGCCCCATGGAGGAGAAGCCCCTGATCCCCCAGAGCCCCCCAGAGCCCTTCAAACACCTTCACGGAAGGCGAGAGGTGCCAGGAGGTGTTTTTTCCTCCCAGCACAAAGCTGGGGTGGGGAGGGAGGTGCTGCTATTGTGCCTTTTTTTCTTACAGACCCAAGCCACAGCGTAATTTCCACCGAGCAGCCGTTTCACCTGCACAGCACAAGGGCCACGTTGGAGCTAAGGGTGTTTGAAGTTGTTTTTTGGTGACTGCATCTGTGCAACCGAATTTCTCCTGCGAAGGTGCCTGGGAGGGTTGTGTAGGCGCCACTGCCCCGTGCCTTGCCGTGTCCCCCAGGGGTGGTTGTGTGTTTGCATGGCTGTACACACATGTCCTTGCATGGCCATGGTTGTCCCTCTCCTTGACTTTGCTTGGGAGCATGTCTGGCCCCTCTGGCTCTTGCCCCAGGAGCTGCCCCTTCTGCACATACTGTTCCAGCCAGGCCCAGTTTGTTTGTTCACATGTGTGGGTGGATGTGAGCAGTGCTGAGGGTTGGGCTGACCCTGTCCCTGATGCTCCTCAAGGGTCAGCTGGGTGGCCTCCAGCCAGTTGTGACCTCCCTGAATGGTCAGCCCTGCGATGTGAAGGATGACAGCCCCAGAGCTGGGGGCAGGAGGGAGGTGTTTGCACTGAGACAGCACCAAAAATGGATCTCTCTCAGCATCTGAAGCCCCAAACTGCTAGCAAACCCTGATGGACCAGCACTGAACTTGCTGCCTGTCCCTACGCTGCTCTCACCCACAGCCTCGGGGACTAAACTGTATTTGCCCTGGAAATGGGGTTTGGGAGGAGCCCTGCGAGGGACACAGTGCTCCCACCCCAGGTACGACCCCCAGGTGGGCAGAGGACACTGGGGCAGTGGCTTTCACCCCAACTGGGAGGTCACAGAGGAATGGGGAGCACAGCCTGGCTCGTCCCATCCCTCCCCCAGGCACCAGCGCTCACATCCCACGCAGAGATGGCCCCAACCTCCCATTTCCATCCCTCCAAGGGGCACGCAGGCAGTGCCACAGGAACTCCAGCTCCCACAAACACTCCCCAGCTCCCATCTGGATGGCTCAGACCCTCTCACCCCCCAAGTCTTACCTGTTAGCAGCGTGGGCAGGACCAACCTCTCTCAGACTCCCATGTCCTGGCAGTGCTGTCGCCTCTCACATCCCCTCCATGCCCACAGGAGCACGGGGACCCTCTGGGGAGCAGAGAGGAGCCCCCCAGACACGGGTGTGCTCCCCACCGCTCACTCCTGCTCCCTCTCCCCGCCTGCCCTGGCTTCCTGCCTCATGAGCAAACTCTAGAGAAGCTGGTTCACAGCTCGCTCGCGACCGCAAGAGCGAGTGACAAACCCTGATGGTTTCCTGCCATCCCCAACACCAGGCTCCCAGCTCTGCGTGTCCCCCCAGGGATGCTGAGACCCTCAGGGGCAGGGGGTGGGATCCCCTGGGCTGGGACAGGAGTCAGGGACAGCAGGGGATTGTCACCTGCTGCCCAAGTGCTCCAGTCCCCTGTGCTGTCCCCTCTCCGGGGCTCTGGCAGAGACTGGTACTCCTGAGCATCAGCTGTCCCTGATCCCACTGTGGGACTCATCCTCCACCCCACATCTCCCCTTTGGTCATCACCACTGAGTCACCACAGATTTTGTCACCCCAAAAGCCACAGTGATGGGGGCTGCAGCCCAGAGGACATGCTATGTCCTGGCTAAGGTGCCAGCAGTGTGTTTTGGAGGCAGCTCAGAGCAGAGCAACCACAACACCATTGTCTTGGCTTCTGTGATCAAACATTAAGCCACAGGTACCTGCCAGCTGCTTGGTGAGGCACAGGCAGGAAGCTCAGCTGTGATGGGGGGGAGCTATGACAGTCTGTGGGGGCACATCGAGTTCTCCCCATGTCATGTTGCTACCCTGGGAAGGAGAAGCAACCCCCAAAATTATCCCTGGGGCATCCCACAGCTTCCCTGGCTCACCCCACATCTTCCCTGGGTCTCCCTTCATCTTCCCTGGCACTGCTTGCAAACAGTTCTGTGAAAGGCACATCCCCAAGTAGCACTTTGTGTTCTCACCCCCCAGCCAAAGACCAGGAGCCACATCTGGAGGTGCAGGAAGGTGCCTGGGTACATGCAAATAAGGAAAAAACATCAGCTCTTGCCTCCACCTCCTTTTATTCCTCCTCAAAGTGCTGCTCCCCACATTTTCCACTGTGTTTGGCCCCACTATCCTTAGGGCCAGGCCACTGGGTGCCCCAAAACACACTGTGCCCCATGGGGATGGAAGCATTTCCCACGCATGGCATTGCCCTGGGAGCAAGGCTGGCAGTTCCACAGCTCAGCACGCCCTGCCCTGTGCCCAGAGGGATCTGGGGAGGGATCCTCAAGCCCTAACCAGGTCCAGATGCACCCACGGGTGCCTTTGGAGCTCCACGGGGTCCCTCAGCAGAGGGAGAAGCGCCGGGAGTTGATGTTCATGCGGGTGACGCCGATGTGCTTGAGGGGCATGGAGAGCAGGAAGGCAGCCTTGGGAGGGATGTTGCAGAGCAGATCTGAATCTTCCTCACAGCCCTCGAGGCCGAAGGTGGCATCATCCAACATCTCCTTGTGCTGGTGGCAAGCCTGTTCCACCTTCAGCCGGTGCAGCTGTGCCCTCAGTCGCATCAGCTGCTGTGCCAGGCGCTGGTCCACAGCCTGCATCTCCCTCTGGGGGGGACATGGGAATCAGGATGGAGCAGGAGCAGCTCTGGATCCAACCCAGGGATGGTGGGGCAGCAGGGATGGGGCTTGGACAGGGCACAACCACCACCCAGGGTCAGCACAGAGCCCGTACATGTGGGCACAGAGTGGGCACAGGGTCTGTGCTGGTGGCACAGCCCAAGGGCAGCACAGAGCATAGAATTTTAGGGGTTAGAATGGACACTATAGATCATCTAGTCCTAACCCTCCCTGCCATGGGGGTGCCTGTGGGTTTGTACCCACACCAATGAGTCCATGGCAGTTGTGCCAGCAACAGAGTGGGCAGGAGAGGGTGACAAGTGCAGATCCCAACAGAGCAGTGACCCCCAGTGCTGTGAGGGGACGGGGATGTCACAGAGCCATATGTGTCCAGCAAAAATCCATGTACACCATCTGTGCTGGGCAAAGGAGCAAAGCCCCCACTGCAGGAGCACCCTGACCCTGCCACGTCCCCTCACTGCTGGGTGAAGTTGGGCATGGCAGAGCCTTGTGACCCCATCTCACTCCTTGCCCACCCTCGTGCCCCCATCCAGCTACTCACCAGCTCCGTCCTCAGCCACTCCAGAGCTGCCTCCACGGTGGCAAAGCCACAGACACCACCATCCTGCCTGTCCTCGGGGTGCCCAGCGCCCTGCTCAGCCCCCCAGGCCCCTCCAGGGGTGTGAGTGCCCCAGTGCTGCCCCCGAACCTGAGCTTCCCACTCCAGGTACGAGGGTCTCCGTGTCTGCAGCTTCAGCTTGGCTGTCAGAGCCTTCACACTGTCCAGGTTCTCCTCCTCCCAGGTGGGTTCCTCCTCACCCAGCTCCTTGAACTTCAGCTGGCTGAAAGCCATGAGGAGACCCTCTACAACCCCCCAAAAACCCTTGGGTGACCACTCAAACCCCCGTGGAGATGAAGCCTCTG